AGAACTGACCCCTTATCTCCATAGTCATGACTTAGTTTAAGCTGTGGTCATCCCTTGCCTGGATTACTGCAGTGGTGGTTTCCTATCATACCTCCATCTACCTTTGCCCCATTCTCATTTATTTTCAACTCAGCAGCCAGAGTGATTCCTTAAAGTCCATCATTTCAGTCCCCTGATTAGAACTCTTTATGGTAAAAACCGGCAGTCTTTAAAATAACCTATAGTTTGGTCTCTAATATCTCTATTTATTTCCTTACACTCTATTACCTCATGTATTCCTATCTAGGACACTGGTCTTTCTCATATATGTTGGGCATTCTCCTCACTGCCCTGACTGTTCCTTTAGCCTAAAATGATCTTTCCCCCAGATATCAGGAAGGCTGACTTCTTCACTTCCTAACCATGTTTGTAAAATTATCCACACGCCACCTTTACTCATAACCCATTTATCTTGTTTCTTTTGTTATTCCATAAAATTTTTTTGCTTTCTTAAGATACTCTACAATGTGTGTGATCAATATAAGTATTGTTTAACTTCCATTGCTAGAATGTAAGCTCTGTGAAGGTGGTAGGGATATTTACCTGTATTGTTCATTAATATATCCCAAGTTTCTATAACTGGTTTTGGTACATTATAGTTGATCAGTAAGTGTTTGATTAATTTATTAATGAGTTTGTATGGTGCATGCTTCCGTTTCTCTATGTGCCTTTCTCTATTTGGAAACTCCCATCTGTGTGTGTGTGTGTGTGTGTGTATGTGTGTGTGTGTGTGTGTGTGTACATATATACTATCTTCTTTCCATTATGCATCTCCTCCCCCAGTTATTCTCACTTTTAAAAGCCTTGTTTTAAAATGGTTATCTATCCCGATAAAATTGTTTGTCCCAATTCTAACATTAGTATGTATCATTTTCATACTAATAACAAGAGAATCTGTGTTAAGCACAGCCACAGTCAGTACTTGTCTGCTCAATCAGAGGTTGATAAAGTCAGTGAAAGCTGCACAAAGTTTTAGGTTTCTTTTGGCAGTCTCTCCACTAGGTAGAAAGGATAGGAAAGTAGTTTGTAGAAGCTGTAAACTAGAGGGGAGTTCTCAAATTTCAAGGTGTTTAAGAATCACCCTGGGCAGTTTAAAAATTGGGAGCTTGTTAAAAAGGCAATTCCCTTCTTCTCAGCCCCTGAGTTTTTGAATCAGTATGTCCAACATGGGGCCCAGAGTCTGCATTTTCAATAAGCACCAGGGATTTCTTATTTAGGAGAATTATGAACACATTAAGAAACATTGTTTAGACTCTGAGTATACTTAGGGACTTTATTGATAAACAAATGGAAGAGAAAGGGCAGGACAAAGCAAGAAAAAATTTTATTGAATAGGTGTTTAAAATATGGGAGAAAACTAGGAAGGAGAACATACTTGTTTATACATAAGACACCTATGGACACTCCATGACCTAAAAGAATTTTGAATATTAAGCAATTTATTTAATAATGAAATGCTTTTGGAATTTCCAGTGCAAAGATTTCACTGTATTATAAACAGTCCATCTATTACTGTATTACCATGATTGTTATAATGTTTTAAATTCTATTGAGCCAAAATATGTATCTTACTATAACTTTTATTTATTGGCCTGGTTGAATTTTCTAAAGCCACACAGAGCAGGCAACTGTAGTATGGTAATTTGTGTTAAAATGTAAAAATTAGAAACAACCTAAGGTAAGTACTGGATAAGTAAAATTGTGTGTGTCTGTGTGCATACGCACACACATATATACATAGTAGTAGACCCACACAATGGAATATTATTTAGCCATAAAAAAAAAAAAGGAAATCTTGCCATTTGTGACAACATGGGTGGATCTGGAGGGCATTATGCTAAGTGACATAAGATAGAGACAAATACCTTTTGATCTCATTTATATGTGGAATCTTAAAAAACTGTCAAGCAATTGAACTCAGAGATATAGAGAACAGATTGTTAGTTGCCAGAGACAAGGTGGGGATGGGCAAAATAGGTGAAGGGGAAGGGAGGAGGTCAAAAGATACAAACTTCCATTATAAGTCATGGGGTTATAATATATAGCATGGTGATTATAGTTAATAATACTGTATAGTATATTTGAAAGTTACTAAAAGAGTAGCTTTAAAAAGTCCTCATCATAAAAAAATTGTAACCACATTGGGATAGATTTACTAGACTTATTGTGGTGATCATTTAGCAATATATACAAATATCGAATCATTATGTTATATACCTGAAACTAACAAAGTTTCATGTCAATTATTCTTCAATAAAAAATAAATAAATATAACCCGTAACTTTCACAGAGATACTTTAAAATTTAGCCTACTTCTAATTGGTGAAATTCCATCCACCAAGGGAGGATATACAGCTTTGCTCTGCCAGACATTGTTTTTTATTCTATCCCACAGTAGCTTTCTTCCTATTCTCCTGACTTGTCTGATTGTTTCCCTCCATCTCAGCCTTTCTGTTTTTCTCAATACCTTAGGTTTTCCCCAGGGTCTGCCAGAGCAGACACAGTTTCAGGGTTGTCAAGAGAAGACCTCATCTTATTCTGGTACATTCAGTTGTACTAGAGTGGCCACTTTCCCCCTATAGATGGGTTAACTTTCCTTCCAATCTGGAGTTCTGATGAGTGTGAAAATAAGATGATATACTCAGAAGTGGCTATTGAGGCAGAAATATATTTCTTCTTGAATCTTAGATTTTCCTTCTGGTATCATTGTTCTTATTCCTAAATTGTAAGTTTTTGTGTGTGTGTGTGTGTGTGTGTGTGTGTGTGTGTGTGTTTTTGTGAGGGTCTGTTGGTAGTAACTTTTTCAATATTTTTCACCTTGGTTCTCAAATGTAATTTATGGAATTTAGAAATCTATGTTGACACTTATCTCTCATCAGCTTGGCACATTCTGTGTGGGCTTCCATTGTTGTTGTTGAGAAATTAGCTCTCAGTCTTAGTGACATTTTTTTAAAATGTAGGTTTGTGTCTTTTTTCTCTGACTGTTTTTAGGATCTCTTAGTCTTAGGATTTGCTCTTTCACAATGAACTATCTAGTGTTATTTTTTTCATAATTTGGCTGGGTTTTGAAGTTTTGACTTTAAAAATCAGTTTCACAATGAGGTGTCTAGTGTTATTATTTTTTCTTAATTTGGTTGGGTTCTGGAGTTTTAAATTTGAGAATCAGTGTCCTGACATTCTGTTTGAATATTGACTCTCATTCTCTCTGTTCTCTGAAACTCTTTAGTTTTTTAGGCTTTCTCACTCTGTTATCTCTCTTAACCTCTCGTGTTCCCCTCTCCCTCGCTGTGTTCTGTGCAGTTTCTTTAGACCTACTTCTATTTTTCTAATTATCTCTTTATCTTTATCGTTGTATAGTCTGCTATTTAACTTCTCTATTGTAATTTGAATTATTACAGTTTTCATTTTTAGAGGTTTCATTTGTATATTTTTAAGATGATGTTTGTAGTGCCTCCTCTGTTGACTATCAAGTTTCTGTATTTGTGTAGGTTTGTTTCTGTGTCCTTTTTGTTTATTGGCATCTCTGCATCTGTACCACACTCTTAATTACTATTAAATTATAAAATAAAATAAGTCTTGATTAACTTCCCTCTTTTCCTTCAAAATTGTTTTACCTATTCTTAGCCCTTGGTTTTTTCATATGTATGTAAGAATCACCTGTACTACATTTTATCTTTGTTGTGCCTGGCTTCCTTTTCTGAGCTACTATTTGCTGTGTCAGGATAAAGTCCTGCTATATTGGTGTCTTTCAGCTTTAATAGTTTTTGGTGTTTGTTTGAACTTCCCTTTGCAACTTCTTTATGTTTTCTTTTCCTTCCTCTGTCTTCCTGTCATTTTTTTCTTATGGTCATTACAAAAGTATTTTAAAGCCCTGGTCGGGTAGCTCAGTTGGTTAGAGCATTGTCCCAATATGTCAAGGTCAGGGCATATATAAGAAGCAGCCAATGAATGCATAAATAAGTGGAACAACAAATTAACATTTCTCTCTCATTTTCTCTCTCCCTCCCCTTTCCGTCCCTCCCTCACTCTCTCCATTTCTCCCTGTACCTCTCTTGTCCTCCCTCTCTCCCGCTTCCTTCTTTTTCCCCTGCTCTCCCTTCTGTCTCTCTCTAAAATCAATAAATAAAAAATAAAAAGTACTTTAAAATTAAGGTAGTATATTGGGGGAGGGGAAACAAATAATAGAAAATAAGATAAAGCAAAAGGTAAAAATCCCTCTGATATCAGTTTGCTGAGATCTTTCAGAATTTTTTCTGAACATGTACAGATGTGTGTTTATAAAAGTAAAAATTGTCATATACATACTATTTTGTAGTTTGCTTTATTTCATTTAGTATTTAAAAAATATCCTTCTATAGCTGTAACACGTTCCTTTTAATGACTGAATCATATGGATACACAGTAATTTAAACAGTTCCATTTTTAAGAGTCTGTAGATATCTACCTACTTTTTGATCTTGCAGCTTTCAAATACTGCTAATCCTAATCAGCAAAGTAGAGGTTGTGCAGTTTATTTCATATCTACCTAAGGTCTCTCCTCTTAATTCTTTTCAAGGGAATTAGTGGGGTTCTGTCAAGAGTCATCCTTGGGGCACTGGCATATACCTTTCTTAAGATGGGAGAGTTGATAGTTAAGCTTGGTGTAAATCTTTAGTGTGGTCATATATGTATTTTACTAAAAAGAAATACTCAAAGGTATTTGTTTGTTACATGCAGTATCCCAGAGAAGATTGTTTTTGGTGTAGTGTTAGAGGTAGAACCCAGATTGAAGATTATAGAAATGAATGAGAAAATGGAGATGGAGAGCTTACACAGGTCTTTGTCCCAACTTGACTATGAGATTGTAGGGGAAGAAGAGAGGCAGTTCTTGGCATTTTGCCTTTTGTTGGTATTTTGCCTTTTGAAAGAAGTTAAAGTTGGATCTCTGTGTTATATAATTTTCCATTTTCTTAATTTCCTAGCCTCCACCAGGCAATGTGAAAATGCCGAATGTACCCAGTACACAACCAGCAATAATGAAACCAACAGAGGAACCTCCACCTTATACACAGATTGCAAAGGTTAGTTCATGTTAATGTGCAAATTCATATGGAATTTACAATATCAGTATTATTTACTTCCAGAGATAAATAATTTTTTATTTGTTGCATTCCATATTGTTTAATTTTTAACTTATTTTTTAGTCTAGGTTAGCCACCTTGTAGATTCTATAATACTCACATGTCTCTTTCAGCTTATAACATTTGCTTTATTCCCTGACTAGAGGCCCGTTGCATAAAGATTTGTGCAAGAACAGGCCTTCCTTCCCCTGGCTTTGCTCCTGGCCACCCAGGAGCCTTTGTAAGTCTTTGCTCCCGGTGGGAGCGTGGCTACTGTAGCTCCCTCCACCCCTGCCTTCCCTGTCATAGCAGGCATCCCACCCCACCTGGCCACTCCGCAACTGTATATGCAAATTAATCTGCCATCTTTGTTGGGTTAATTTGCATACTCCTTATTGGCTGATGGGCATCTCAGAGGTACGGTCAATTTTCATATTTTTCTTTTATTAGTGTAGATTGGCAATTATTAAATTCATCTAATACCTTGGTGTATAATTTTTATAGTGAAAATTTTATTGCCTTTGGTATCACTTAAAAAAAATATATTTTATTGATTTTTTACAGAGAGGAAGGGAGAGGGATAGAGTGTTAGAAACATCGATGAGAGTGAAACATTGATCAGCTCCCTTCTGCACACCCCCTACTGGGGATGTGCCCGCAACCAAGGTACATGACCTTGATCAGAATTGAACCTGAGACCCTTTAGTCCACAGGCTGATGCTCTATCCACTGAGCAAAACTAGTTAGGGCTTGGTATCACTTTTTATTACACGATGCCATTACAGTAACAATGACAGAATAATAAATATTACTGGAAGGGCATTATAATGGCTAACTAAGCAAGAGACATTGGTAGGAGTTTGAGAAAAATACAAGATAAAAGTAGATGACTAGGATTCCTGCTATCACATAAAGTCAGGTAGAGTATAGATCAGAATTTCGGAACCATGTCCTCCTTTCATGCCATTATTTTATAAAATATAAGATGTTATTTGTTCTTGCATTGGGAACCTTATATGCCATTTAACCCAATTCATAAGAGTCAATTAAGTTGCTCTTTTCTCCATTTGTCTGTTTTCCTCAACACTTCCATTTTTCTTTGTTATTCACTCATTTAAGCACAGAGGTGATTTTCATTTTCCTGATTACCTTAGGACTCTGACCACTCTTAGGATTTTTTTCTGTCCTAATGTGCCCAATATTCCCATGAAGGTTTTCATAACCAAAAGAATCAAATATCTATGGCTATATGGATCAAATATCTATATAATATTTTCTGAAACTAAAATCTTCAGTAAATTCCTATACTTTGGAAGAACATTTGAATTAAGTTTCTAGCATAGTAGAGGGAGAAGAAAGAGATAGCATATCAATGTTTCAATATTTTATACTTATGACAACCTATTCACTTATTATTTTTTTGTGTAGGAACATGCCTTGGCCCAAGCTGAACTTCTTAAGCGCCAGGAAGAATTAGAAAGAAAAGCTGCAGAATTAGACCGTCGGGAACGAGAAATGCAAAACCTCAGTCAACATGGTAGTATCTAAAATGTTTGAAATAAAAATAACTTTAAACACTTTAGATAATGTCTGCACTGGCTCTAAGTCATTTGGTTTGTGAATAAAATTCTGCTCGGTTTTCCTATTCTAACGAGATCAGACATAGCCAATATTCTACTTGATACTGTGTAGCTCTTTGAAATTGGCTGATTTGCATAGTCTTTTGATAGTTTAGAACAGTGTTAGCCTTATCACACAGAAAGTGAATTCAAATATGATAATTTTGGTTTATTCTAAAGCCAGGAACCTTTGATTATGCACTTGAGCTATCTTTGCTTCTAATAAAATTTTATGAGTACATGGGACTACATTTGACTCTTCTAGTTTAGTTAGCCTATCAGTATTTTCAAATTATTTGCTCCTGTCCTCACAAGTATTTTCTATTTTTTTTTTAAATATACTTTATTGATTTTTGTACAGAGAGGAAGGGAGAGAGATAGAGAGTTAGAAACATCGATGAGAGAGAGTCATCGATCAGCTGCCTCTTGCACACCCCCCACTGGGGATGTGCCCGCAACCAAGGTACATGCCCTTGACCGGAATCGAACCCGGGGCCCTTCAGTCCCCAAGCCGACGCTCTATCCATTGAGCCAAACCGGTCCCGGCACAAGTATTTTCTATTGTTTGAATCATGTGAAAGAAGTAAGTCTGCAGTGAGTCTAGGAAGCTTCTGGTATTTTGATGATGCCAAAGAAATAAATAAATGCTGAATTATTAGCTATGAAATCTACTCAGGCTGTTATTACCAAAGGCCACTTCAAGAGAGTATTTTAGGGAAAGCTAGCAGTCTCTGGGTACGAAGAGATAAGAGTTAGACAAGTCATTGTTAGTATGTCTGGGATAGTGAAGGGATGACAGGACTAGGACAGCAATAATAAATTATCTGTTTCTTATCTTAGAATGTGTAAACCCAAGGGCTCCTGAGAGTACATTTATCCTAGGCCATTTTCTTATTTGCAACATCAGAGACATCTCTAAAAGGAGAAACTAAAGGTGTAAATAGGTATTTCAGAAATACCTATAACTAAAAGCTACCCTATTTCCTTAGCATTGAATACTACAAGTTATTTCTATGAGAGAGATTTTAGTAAGGGTTGAAATGAAGAGTGGGAAATTAAAAGATAGATTTGTAGTATGTTGTACGTTTAATCCTCAGTACAGTTCTCTGAAGGGTGGTATAGTTGTTGTTCTCATTTTTCAGATGTAAAAACTCAGTCTTTAGAAGCTTAAGTAAGTTGCCCAAGGCCACCTAGACAGTAAGTGGCCAGGCCAGGCATGTCTGGTTTCAAGTCTTGTTCTTTATAGTCGTGCTCTGTTACTTCTCAAATAGTGTGAGACTTGTATGAGAAATGCATGAACTACATGAAATTAGAAAAGAATGATAAATAGTGGAGACGTGGGAGAGAATCAGAAATAGGTCATGCTTTTTCTGCTATGAAATTTTTTCTGGTCTGTAAAATCTAATTTTAAAGGTTGTGAGATTATCATATCTAAAATGATAAAATGGCCTTTAGATGCTATTTTTACTCTCTATTTTTAATATTTGACTTCTTTAATTTTATATTTTTCCCTACTTTCAGTCTAATTTCTTTATGTAGACCCTTTACCCTCCCCCTCACAGTTTGAATTTGTTTTTTTTCTCCAGGTTTTTGAAGGTGCTATAGTTCCTTAGCATCTTCATGACTCCCTTATAGTTTTGTAATTTACTTACATGTCTTTTGGATGTTATTTTTCTGAGACTTTGGGATTTCTGAATTTGATACTTTCAGTATTGTTTAATCGTGTGTTTTTTTTCATGATGTTAACAGTAGAAAATTCCAAGGATTCAAAAGCTCGGTCTTCCCTCTCCACATGGGTTAGAAATTAAGTTAAAGATGTAAGACACTGAGGAAGATATTAGAGAGATTTAAAAACTGCATGACCTGCATGTGAGAGCCAGACTCTTGGGACTTTGAAAGTAATATTTTAGGGCAGAGTCACAGGGTATGTGCCTTTATGCTTTTTTTCATTTTCTCATTTCAACTGTACATACTTTCTGCTAAATATTATATGACACTGGAAAATTTTACCATCCAATGTTTTAAAGGTTATAAAGATTGGCTTTAGAGTTCTCTAAGAATGTGGAGAAATACAGTGTTGTATTTATAAAACACCTATAAAATAATAGATACTGTTCTTTATTCTGAAATAAAAAATAAGAATAGCACATATTTGTCCTACATAAATAACTTAAAAAAATTTTTTTGCAGGCAGAAAAAATAATTGGCCACCTCTTCCTGGTAATTTTCCTGTGGGACCTTGCTTCTATCAGGATTTTTCTGTAGACATTCCTGTGGAATTCCAGAAGACAGTAAAGATTATGTACTACTTGTGGATGTGTGAGTACAGAATAAATTACTGTATATATTCAACAAGTTTTCTATTTTATTGCCAAAACTCTCCTTTTTTGGAACTCATATTAAGGGTAGTATCATTAATTGGTATTTGTCTATAGATTTTCTAATTTTCAGAGTGGAATGTATATTTGGGTACTTCAAAATTTTACTGTGTGTGACGATCTAAGTTCTTAGCTGAAAAAACCCTATATATAAAGAACTGGCATTCTCTTGAGGAAAGATCTTTTCTGTCACATAGGTAGAATTTTGCAGTTATTCCTTTTTCTTGAAAAATCTTCTCTGGGCAATATTTGCTTTGGAAAAATAGGCATATATTTTTATGTAAATGAAGGCCATTAAACATTCTGTTAAAGCATTATGACTATTTTTAAAGGAGCATAAAATATTATAATATTATAAACTATTTTTTCTTATAGTCTTATAGCTTTGAGCATAATTTACACTTCAATTTCAAGTGGGAATGAATACTATTATTATTTAAAGTACCTAATTAATATAGGAGGTTTTATTGAATAAGACATTAGGACATACATTTTAGGTTATGATGCTCAGATTGCTTTGAGTATAATTATAACTCCTGGTATACCAAAATAAAAGGTCAACCTGTTAATAGTTTGCTGTATGTACACAGAATTTCCAATTACTCTGTTTTATTTTCATTCCAATCATCTCAGTCCCATTTAATATCATCATGTCAGTAGGAGAGATAGCTGTCACAACTTCTCATCTGCACAACCTCTAGGTTAGTGGATAATTTGTAGGGCGCATTCTTGATGAAGGAAATTTGTGTGTGTTTACTGTATAATCAGGGAGACTTTCCCTCTTCAAATATGAGATAATTTTCCTCAAAATATTTTAGGAGCATTCTTTATACACCGAGTGGCCAGATTATTATGATCTCTGAACACATAATAATTGGCCACTCGAGTGTATATCCTATATACTAAAAAACTAATATGCAAATTGTCCCTTCAACCAGGAGTTCGACCAGCAGGCAGGCCAGCCGGCCAACTGCCCATGTCCCCTCCCCCTGGCCAGGCTGGCTGGACCCCACCCATGCACAAATTCATGCACTAGGCCTCTAATATATATTATATATGGTATATATATATATATATCCTATCTAATAAAGAAGGAATATGCTAATTGACCATCACTCCATCACAAAGATAGCTGCACCCACAGCTGAGGCCAAGTTCCCATAAGGAGCCTTAATGAGCAATCAGCAGGGACCTGAGGGTACACCCTCCCCTGCCCCTGTGGGGCTTGGCGGGGACCTCAGGCCGCACCCCTGTCCTGACGTAGGCTGGAGTACATCAGGTCACACACCCCAGTCCCAGTGCCAGGCCAGGGGACCTGAGGTCATGCCCCCGACCCAGCAGGGCTTGATGGGAGACCTCAAGGTGTGCTTCCTGTCCTGGTGCTGGGCTAGGGGATCTCAGGCTGTGACCCCTGCCTGGCTGGGCTTGACAGGGTACCTCAGATGGTGCCCTCCACCCAGTGGGATTTGACAGGGGACCTGAGGCTGCACCCCCCAACCTGTCAGGGCTTGTCGAGAGACCTCAAGCCATGACCCCACCCAGCAGAGCTTGACAGAGGATCTCAGGCCGTGTCCCTCTCCTGGCAGGTCTTGATGGAGGACCTGAAGTCATGCCCCCACCAGGTCCCCTGGTGCCAGGCCAGGGGACCTGAGGCTATGCCCCCTGCCTGGCTTGACAAGAGTGGGACTGGCTGGGTCTGGGTCTAGCCCAATGGTGGGGGGAGGGGGCAGCTAGGTCTGGGTCTCACGTGATTTTGAGGTGCATGTGGGTGGGCAGGGACTTGACTCTGGGTCCTGTGGTGAGCCTCAGACTCTGATAGGAGGAATGTCTTCCTATACATTTTACTATTTTTTTTTCATCTCTGACACTTCTATTATAAAGAAAGGGCAAGTAGCAACATTAAATTATTTCCTCTAATTAATCCCCCTTTAATATGCACAAATTTCATGCACCAGGTCACTAGTGCACACACACTCACACACACACACACACACACACACACACACACACACACTCACACACTGAGTGGCCAGATTTATTATGGGTTCAGAGATCATAATAATCTGGCCACTCAGTGTATAAGGTGAACTTGCTTTGGAATGTGAGAAGTGATTCCTTATGGATAATACATTTTTAACCCTCATTTTGGGTTGATTTTTGTTATTGATGTAATATATTTTGTTGAATCCCTCGCATTAGCACATATTACAGTAGTATATTGTTAACATTAAAAGTTTTGATTCTGTATATGTACACACTAACCAACTCATATTTTATTTAATCAACATACTCATATATGAAAATATATAATAATTATTTTTAATGGGCATAAATTGGCTTAACATTTTAGGTATATGTTCTTTGGTTTAGTGAAAAACATTCTGATGGTGGAGATGGGGGTTGGAAGGAATTCAGTAAATAGAAATTGAATGGGGAAGATGATTAATTTTAACTGAATGATTAACTAGTCTCCCAATGCCCATTTGTTTAAAATAGGCCTTTTTAGTCTTAGAAGTATATAACTTTATGAGGTTCTTAGAAATGATATAGTTGGCTATATTTTTTCCTAATTCTGTTCAGTTGGAAGATCTTAACTGTATTCAGAGAGGGCCCAAGATTCCAATTAAGGTTCTAATTTGAAGAAGTGTTTCCTGGAACAAAATGAGATCTGGTACCAATTCAATAATGTCTCTAAGTTTCATAGGATAGAAGTATTTAAATAAGTTCTTTTTAAGAAGGGTCAACTTGTTACTGATTTTAGAGTTGACTAATGCTTTTACACTGTAATCCTATACCATAGAGGTAATAGGTAAATTGACCGTCACACCTCACAAAGATGGCTGCTTATGAGCAGGCTGGCAGGGGGTTAGTGAGGGACTACCAAATGATTGAACAAACAGACTGCGTGGGGCGACCAGGCCGGCAAGAGGTTTAGTGAGAGACGCCCAAACAACTGAACAATCAGGCTGTGTGGGGCGACCATGCCAGCAGTGGTGTTAGTGAGGGATGACCAAACGACTGAACAGCAGGCTTCATGGAGCGACTAAGCCAGCAGGGGGGCTGTGAGGGGCAACCAGGCAGGCAGGGGGAGCTATAAGAGATAACCAGGATGGCAGGTGGGGCAGTTAGGGGTGACCAGGCTGGGGGGTACAATTGGCGGCGACCAGGCTAGCAGTGGGGGCTGTTGGGGTGATTAGGCTGGCAGGGAGGCAGTGAGGGGCAACTAGGCCAGCGGGGTGGGGGGGGTGCATTTGGGGGCAACCAGGCCTGCAGGGGCGGCAGTTAGGAGCGACAAGGCCAACAGGTGGGGAAGTTAAAGGGGACCAGGTCAGCACACTGAGGCAGTTAGGGGTGATCAGGCTGGCAGTGGTGGTGGGCAGTTAAGGGCAACCAGGTAGGCAGGCAGGTGAGCGATTAGGAGCCAGCAGTCCAGAATTGTGAGAGGGATGTCCGACTGCTGATTTGATTGGGCTAAACTGACAGTTGGATATTCCACAATGTCCTGGATTGGAGAGGGTGCAGGCTGGAATGAGGGCCCCTCCCCCACACAAATTTTGTGCACCGGGCCTATGGTGATAATAATAATGAGCAAACATTTATTGAGGATTTACTTTGTGCAAGGCACAATGCTAATCACTTTTATGTATATTACATTATTAAATTGTAACCACACTATGAAGCAGGTACTATATTACTTAGTTTTATAGATAGGGAAACTAAAGAATAGAGAATATGAGTTACACAGAAAGGAAGGTTGGAGTTGGATTGCTTGACTCCAAAGCTCAGAGTCTAGAGTTACATGTTATACCATCTACACAGTACCAAAATGAAGAAGTATTTGACATTTTCAACCCAAATACAACAGATATGCTTTCAAAGATACCATACTTAATGTGCTTAGTAAAGCAAATTGAAATTTTATATGAGGAGTCATTCGGCTTGCAAATCAGGTAAACAAAATGGACTAAATATTTCATTAGTATTCTACCTACATTGGAATCCAACAAGTGGTTTGGAATTGGATAGAAATTAGCAACAGAATTATTCATTTCACATTACCTTCCCTTTATGTGTGTTTTTTGATCTCTATAAAGTGGACCAATTGTTTAGTAAGTAGGCCTAAACACTTTTTTCCCCCCCCAAATATATTTTATTGATTTTTTACAGAGAGGAAGGGTGAGGGAGAGAGAGTTAGAAATAGCGATGAGAGAGAAACATCAATCAGCTGCCTCCTGCACACCTTCTACAGGGGATGTGCCCAGTACCAAGGTACATGCCCTTGACTGGAATTGAACCTGGGACCTTTCAGTCCACAGGCCAACACTCTAGCCAAACTGGTTAGGGCTAAACATTTTACTCTTCATTGGAGATCAAATAAATGACTTTTTGATTATAATTGTTGGTTACTATAAAAACACTTTGAAAAAGATTTTAATAGATTATACAAATTGAAATTGAAATTTTTTATCTAAACCTGAAAGAATTTCTGTGAACTTTAAAATACTCATACCCATATATTGTCTGTTTTGAACAGATTAGTAGGTAAACCTTTAAAAATTATTTCTCTAAAGGTTGATATTTGACTTAGGATGTTCTGAACATTTAATACTTTTTTAGGTAATTAGATGCCATTTAACGTTAACAGAGTAATAATTTTCAATCTCACAATCTTTTCAATTCTGATTTTAAGCCCTCCTTAACAGAATTACTTTTATTTTGAGGCAAAAGAGTTTGAGTAAGTTTGTTAATCAAGCTTTCATGTGAGTTAGAAATTCTAATGGAAATAAAGTAATTATTAGTAAGATTCATTCTTATATAATAGAATGAAATGAAATTTTAAGGCTAGAAGAGTTCCTGTATTTTTATAGATGAAAAATGGAAATACACAGAGATTAATTAGCTCAATAGTATTATACTACGGGCCCGTTCCAGGTGGCGCCACTGCCTACCCCACCCACGCTTTCCCTCTGGCAGCTGCCTTGCTTGCCCCTTTTCCTCCCTCTTCCTTCTATGCTGTCTTCAGTCTTCACTCCTCCCTCCCTCAGTATATGCAAATTAACCACAATCTTTGTTGGGTTAATTTGCATACTCTCTCTGATTGGCTGTGGGCATAGCAAAGGTATGCCCTTTTAGCATTTTTCTCTTTTATTAGTTTAGATCACTATTATCTAGATCTTTTCCTCTGGAGCTTTTTCTCCTATTCCAGAGATTGTATATTTAGTTGTTAGATGAGAGCAGATTAGATAAGGCATCCTAGAATGTGTGTTTTTGTCCTGTTTCATAATCAATACTCTTATTTGATTAATAATTTAAAAGGATTTAAAAGTTGGTTTTTAAAAAAATATATTTTATTGATATTTTACAGAGAGGAAGAGAGAGGGATAGAGAGTTAGCAACATCGATGAGAGAGAATCATCGATCAGCTGCCTCTTGCACACCCCCTACTGGGGATGCGTCCGCAACCAAGGTACATGCCTCTGTCTGGAATCGAACCCAGGACCTTTCAGTCCGCAGGCCGACACTCTATCCACTGAGCCAAACCAGTTTCGGCTAAAGTTTGTTTTTAATGTGAGTTTTTTATTTAGATTCATTAGGTTTTTATTTTTATTCAACTAGTAGTTTGTCAGTATACTTTTATTGTATTGATAATTTGCATTAAAATTATTTTAACTTCTGAATTTATTTTCTATAATAAATGCAGCCAGTAATTTTTAAAAGTGCTTAAAATTATTATAATGGGTAAATGTTGTTTTTAGGATTATAATGTTATCCAGATTTTTTGCTTTTGGTCTGTCAGGGAAATTAATTATTAACAACATATGAAGAATTTGCCAAGATCTATTTGTGTTAACTAAAGAAAGGTCTGCCAATGGAGCTGAAATGCATCATAGTGTACTTTTTTTTCTTTAATATGTGTAATCCTCTACCAAAACACGGTTTGAATCCCAGGACTTAAAGAATGGACAACTCAGTGAGGATGAATTGATAATCCTTACAGATTGACTTTGTACTCACTGGAAATTTCTACTGTATTGATTATTTTTAGCCCGATGATTCCAATTTTATTGTTTAAATGTGTCATGATGAGATTGCACAGGGCACTTCTCTTTTGTGTGTATAATCTGCTCGGAGAGACATCTTGCAGACCCACTCTGTAAAAATATAGTTATGAGTGTAGGATCTTTTTCCTCCCAAGTTTTGGTTCTTTTCCTGGCAGGCACTACTTTCTTCCTGAGCCGTCAATCAAGAGACATATCACATGTTTCCTTCTCGGGGGAGAGGCCCTTTAGGCAGTACTTCTCTGGTTTACCTGTGTAATTGCCCTTTAAAAAAGGGCCAAAAGAATTTTTGCCAAACAGTGCATGTATTAGGACTCCTTTTCCTGTGATAACTCTATTTTAAAATCAATTGCATAAGAAATAGCAATGTTTTGAAAAATACTAAATGAAAACATGGTGTAAAATACATTCACTCTTGGGAAGTATTTTTTTTATTTATAATTTTTGTTGAATGAACCTTATAAACTGATTGTAAACATTTTTTTCTATTTTGTTTTTTGATTCCACAGTCCATACAGTAACACTGTTTCTAAATATCTTCGGATGCTTGGCTTGGTTTTGTGTTGATGCTACAAGAGGGGTTGATTTTGGATTGAGTATCCTGTGGTTCTTGCTTTTTACTCCTTGTTCATTTGTCTGTTGGTACAGACCACTTTACGGAGCTTTCAGGTAAAATGTGTGTACTTAAAAATATGCTCTTTAAAATATGTGAAGTAAATACTCATAGTACATTTTAACGGGAAAATTGGCATTTTCATTAAATTTTTTTTTATTGTATAACACCTTCAGAAAAATCTATATGTCATATTCATGTGTATTCACTCACAAGTGGTCATTATAGCCTAAATCTTAAATGAAACTAGGTAATGTAAATGTATGTAATGTTTAAAGTGAATCACTTTCACCTAGCAACTTTCTAAGTATGTCTGTGTAAATTCACTTTTGGTTTTTCAAAAGATAACAACATTTAAAAAATATTTAGACTATAAGATGCAGTATAATACTTTGCATCATTTATTTAATTGTTGGTTAGGAGTAACATTTTTTAAATGCATAGTCTGTGGGCAATTATAGGTGATATGGGAAAAAATGGTTCATTTGCTTACGTTTGGGTATAGCTGGATAATAAAGTTCATCAAGTTACTTCATTTTAGGATTTCTTAGACTTTTTAAGAGCCTAGTGTGCTTTATGATTTGACCACGAAACCATTATTATTATTATACTTATTATTTTGTCAAGCACCTTTTTCGACTTGTTTTAAGAAATAAACATTGGGAAATGCTGATTTAGATGCTAGCACTGTTTGAATCCATATATTCAGTTGTTTATCAACTTATTTTTATTTCAATAAACTAATTTATGAATAATGAACCTCTTTCAACTCTCATGAATGAGAGGTAGTGTTACTGAGAAATAGGCATGTACCAGTATTCTGCAGATGATATATTAGGGAAATTAGAAGGTCACATCAATTGTATAACTTTTTTTCCATTTCAACATAAAATTTCTTTGATTAACTAGAATGTTTACCATCCCCACCTCACACACTCAAAATATGGAATTAGAAACCCAGATATGTAAACATATGGGGTTGGGAGGACAGAAAGAAAAGAGAGAAGATTGAGAATTTGGAGAGAAAAGGTGCCACTCAACAGAAAACTAAATTGGTTAGAAATAAAATGCAGGGGAAAATGGGTGGGAGATGAGAAAATAACCTTTAGGTATTTATTGAAATATGGGAGTTTGATTGTCAAGGAATAGAATAGGGCAAGGGACCCCCATAGATGTGGGTTGGAGAGAAATTAAAAGGAACTATTTACTACTTTTCCGTGTTGTCTAAGCCTGGCTCACAAGGTTTATCAATTCTTAATTTTATGACATCAGGACTCTGCCTTCCTACTTTTGTCATGTTACTAGTATAACTGTAATAATACTGGTGAGTGGCAATGGGATGTATCAATTTGAAATTTTAAAAGTGATCGGAGACTAGAGACTTTGGATTTTAAACCTCTGTGACTAATATAGCCAAACAGACTATTAAAAACCAGTTTTTGCCCTGTCCAGTCAGTGTTGTTAAATGGTTAGAGTGGCCCTCAGATGAAGGGTCACAGGTTTGATTCCCAGTCAGGGGCATGTACTTGGGTTGTGGGTTTGATCCCTGGCCCTGGTCAGTGCATGAGTGGGAGGCAACCACTGAGCCAAACCACTAGGGCTATATGTGTCTCTCGTACATCTAGGCTTTTCTCTCCCCCTCCCATTGGCCCCTTCCACTCTCTAAAAATATCAATGGAGAAATGTCCTCAAGTAACAAAACAAACAAGCCAGTCTTTTGCCATTTATTACTTAAAGACATTCATTTCCTTTTATTCTCTTTCTTTGCCAGTTGTAGGCTAGAGTTTTAGCTGAATTGCAAGCTTTAGAATATATCACAAATGTGCTAATTATCTGGGTTTTACTATTTGGAGCAGAACTGAGAGGAAAAATTTTTATGGGGAAAGTTAAAAATAGATTATTTGAAATCATTTATATACATCTTATCAGTGTGTAGCTTTGGAATTTTCTTCACCCAGATTGCCAAGTGTTTGTGAGTTAAAGTCTCTTTGGAAGTACTTAGTAAAGTTTGTTAAACATTTATTCACCACAGATTTCTTCCTTAAATATGAAACTCAAACCAGATACATTAGATATGATTATTTATATTAAATATAGGATTTTTAAAGAGATTTTACTTATTCATGAGGATGCTTTACTAGTATTTGAGATTGGTTTTGATAGAGATTTCTGCCTTTGAGAACGGGCAGTTGGGATATTTAAGGGGTTTGTATTGTATTTTATGAATGATGATTAAAAATTAAACAAACATCTGAACATACTTTGTAAGTCCATAGATAATGGGTAAGTAAAACTTTTTAGGCCAGGTATAATATATATATATATATATATTTTAGTCCTCACCTGAGGATATATTTATTTAGAAAAAAATATACATATATTTTTATCAATATATATATATATAATCAATATATATATTGATTTCAGAGAGAGGAAGGGAGAGGGAAAGAGATTAAAATATCAACGATGAGAGAATCATTGATTGGCTGTCTCCTGCACACCCCCTAGTGGGGATTGAGCCCGCTCGTGTCCTTGACCGGAATCAAACCTGGGACCCTTTAGTCCACAGGCCAATGCTCTATCCATTGAGGCAAACCAGATAGGGCAATATTTTTTCATTGATATATATATATATATATATATATATTTTTTTTTTTAATTGATTTTTTACAGAGAGGAAGGGAGAGGAGAGAGATAGAAACATTGATGAGAGAGATATCGAACAGTTGCCTCCTGCACCTCCCCCCCCCCACCGGGGATGTGCCCACAACCAATGTACATGCCCTTGACCAGAATCGAACCTGGGACCTTTCAGTCCGCAGACCGACGCTCTATCCACTGAGCCAAACCGGTTTTGGCTTTTCGTTGATTTTTAGAGAGAGTAGAAGAGAGAGGGAAAGACAGAGAGAAACATCACGTGAGAGAAACACAGTGATTGATTGCCTCCTGCACACACCCGGACCAGGGCCCGAGCTGGGGAGGAGTTTGCAACTGAAGTATGTGCCCTTGACTGGATTCAAACCTGGGATCCTTCAGTTCCCAGGCCAATGCTCTATTCACTGAGCCAAACCAGCTAGGGCTATATGTATTTTAAAAGTTAAGTTTATTAGGTATTAGAATTAAATTTGGAGTTGCCATTTTGTCATTTATGTGTGTGTGTGTTTAAATATATTTTTATTAATTTCAGAGAAGAAACGAGGAGAGAGAGATTGAAATATTAATGAGAGAGAATCATTGATCAGCTGCCTCCTGAACACTCCTTACTGGGGATCAAGCCTGAAACCTGGGCATATGCCCTGATCAGGAATCTAACTGTGACCTCCTGGTTCATAGGTAGATGCTCAACCAGTGAGACATATGGCCGGGCTCATTTATATGTTTTTAAGATTATAATTATTCTTAATTTTATGCTTCCCCAAATCATTACACATTATGTAAATACTTTAAAATATTTATTAGATAATTATTAATGAGGCAGTGTGTTGTTGAAGAAGTATAACTATTGGAAACATACTGAGGAAAGGTTAGAATTTGGCTTCTCCACTTAAAAATTGTGTGCTCCTAGGAAATTGAAGTAAAAACTCTCAATGCTTCAGTTTGTTGAGTGTAAATCGGTTATAGTATTTCCTGAGTTGGTAAGAGGATTAGAGATAATGTATGCACCATTTTTGGTTTTGTGGGTGGTCAACAGTTCACCAAAGATATATGGATGATAAAAAGCACATGAAATAGTGCTCAGCAACATTAGGTATTAGGAAAATGCAAACTGGAATCAGATGAGATATCACTGTATACCACGTTAGCATGGTTAAAATGTAAAGGACTGATATACCAAGTGTAGATGTGGAGGAACTGGAACACTTATATTCTGCTGTTGGGAATATAAAATGAAATAAATGCTTCATTAAACAGTTTGGCAGTTTCTTCAAATGTTAAACATAAACTTCCCAGGTGTTCCAGAAACAATCTAAATGACTATCAGTAGGTGAATGCATGAAATTGGTCTATCTATACAATGCACTACTACATAACATTGAAAAGGAAGGAACTTTTGACACAGGCAACATGAGTGAATCTCCAAATAATTGTGTTGAGTGAAAGAGGCAGACAAGAAAAAAGTATATAATGTATGATCCCATTTATATAAAACTCTAAAATATGAAAGCTATACTGACAGAAAACAGTTGGTAGGGTAGAGATGGAAGGATTACTTACATGCACAAGGAAACTTGGGTAAGTTTGTGATTTTTATTGGAGAAGGTTCATGGTTATATACATATGTCAAACCATTGAACTCTACATTAAATAGGTGCACTTCATTATACGTTAATTATAATTCAGTGAAACTAGTAAAAAAAAAAAAGGAAAACTACATTTTTTTGTCAAGATGTTTTGTGGTATAGTTGGAAATTGACAAAGTGAGGTTGCAGTAATAAAAACAGTATCATCTAGTATTTGGGTAAAGGTTTCACATAAATTATGTTATTGTAACTTCAAGCCTCAGGTAGTTGCCAATGGTATATTTAAAAGTATTTTATTTTTTAACATTGATTGTCAGTCTGCATGTGAATGTAAAGGTATTAAGAAAAATGACATTGTCTTCTTCTTTCTCTCCCTCCCTCTCTTACCTTTTTAAAAAAGGAGTGACAGTTCATTCAGATTCTTTGTATTCTTCTTCGTCTATATTTGTCAGTTTGCTGTACATGTACTACAGGCTGCAGGATTTCACAACTGGGGCAACTGGTAAGTCATTTTATTACTCTAGTTAATCTGTTTATCTTGTATCTTTGTGTAATTTTTGGCTTCCTAAAAATAGTTAACAGCCGAAACTGGTTTGGCTCAATGGATAGAGCGTCGACTTGGGGACTGAAAGGTCCCGGGTTCGATTCCGGTCAAGGGCATGTACCTTGGTTGCGGGCACATCCCCAGTAGGGGGTGTGCAAGAGGTAGCTGATCGATGACTCTCTCTCATCGATGTTTCTAACTCTATATCTCTCTCCCTTCCTCTCTGTACAAAATCAATAAAATATATTTAAAAAAATTTAAAAAAATAGTTAACAGAGCAAAGCCACATTAGCAAAAGGAAATAAAAGTAAAAATTGCATTTTTTTAGTACTTAATTTTCTAAGGCATAACTTTTTGAAAAACCATTCTATTTAAAAATTATGTTCTCATTTTTAAAAATTACACATTATATCTAGTTTAAATAAAATGTGTATATCATAGGCACTAAGAGGAAATTTTGTAAAAAGGAGACTCAGGAGTGATCAGATAGGAACGCCAAGGATAGGGGAAGGGAGAGAAAAGAAATTCAAGGGTTTTAAGGAAAAGGGACCTATTATGTGTAAATCACTATTTTTAGGTATACAAACATGTTTTCATATACACACACGCGTATGTACACACAGTTTTAAAAAAATATATATTTTATTGATTTTTTACAGAGAGGAAGGGAGAGATAGAGAGCTAGAAACGTCGATGAGAGAGAAATATCGACCAACCGCCTCTTGCACACCCCCTTCCAGGGATGTGCCCGCAACCAAGGTACATGCCCTTGACCGGAATTGAACCCAGGACCCTTCAGTCCGCAGACCGACTAGCTCTACCACTGAGCCAAACCGGTTTCAGCTGTACACACGTTTTTGAAGAGTGGAATCACTGCATACACATGCATACTACTACCTATATTTTTTTTCTTTTTTATTGAATTTATTAGGGTGACATTGGTTAATAAAATTATGTAGGTTTCAGGTATATAATTCTATAATACATCATCTGTATATTGTATTGTGTTTTCACCAACCCAAGTCAAGTCTCTTTCCATCACCATTTATCTCCCCTCTACTGACTCTTCTACCTCCTCCACCCCCTTCCCTCTGGTAATCCCCATACTATTGTCTTTATGTCTATGAGTTTTCTTCTTGTTTTGTTTTTTCTTAATCTCTTTACCTTTTTTCACCCAGCTCCACAACTCTCCTCTCCTCTTAAAGCTGTCAGTCTGTTCTCTATCTGTGAGTCTGTTTTGATTTTACTTTTTAGTTTATTTTGCTGATTAGATTCTACATATGAGTGAAATCATATGGTACTTGTCTTTCTCTGACTGGCTTATTTCACTTAGCATAACATTCTTCAGGTCTATTCATGCTGTCACACAAGGTAAGATTTTCTTTCTTTCTTTTTTTTTTTTTTTAAATAGCCAAGTAGTATTCCATTGTATAAATGGGCCAAAGCTTTTTTATCCACTCATCTACTGATGGACACTTCATCTGCTTCCAAATCTGTACATATATTTTAAAATAATATAATCATTCTCTGTATGACAAAAGGTTACTCATTAGGAGATCCTCAGAAATGGACACTATTTGGACCCAGGCTAGGAGGTAATAGCAGCTTTATATCTCTCTTCATATACTCTGGAGCAAACAATCCTTAAATGAAACAACAGGTGGAAAAGAGCACATCTCTAAAATATCCTTCCCTCTCTTCTTTCTTTTATAACTTAAGTTACATACAGTTGAATTCTTAAAAAAAAAAAAAATGTGTGTCTGTGTGTGTGTGTATTGATTTCTCTTATTGATGTTTCTCTTATAGAAACGTCAATAAGAGAGAATCAGCCCTAACCGGTTTGGCTCAGTAGATAGAGCATCGGCCTGCGGACTGAAAAGTCCCAGGTTCGATTCTGGTCCAGGGCATGTACCTTGGTTGCGGGCATAACCCCAGTAGGAGGTGTGCAGGAGGCAGCTGATCGATGTTTCTCTCTCATCGATGCTTCTAACTCTCTATCCCTCCCCTTCCTCTCTGTAAAAAATCAATAAAATAAATATTTAAAAAAATCATTGATAGGCTGCCTCCTGCACACCACCTACTGAGGATTGAGCTCACAACCTGGGCATGTTCCCTGACTGAGATTCTAACTGAGACCCCCAGATTCGTAGGTGGACATTCAACCACTGAGCCATACTGGCCTGGCACAATTGAATTTTTATAAGCTAAGAGCTTATACTTGGCAAATTTACTGCAGTGTACATAAACTAAAATGAGCATGTAACTAGTACATTTAGTATGCTATTACTGAATCGGAGTAGTGACTGGCAATCAGATAGCTTTCTGTAGCTTTGCAGATTTAATGCAGATAATATATTTGTATTTTAAGTAAGTTCTAGGAAAAAGTAGAATTCATACTATGCCATTCAGCTGTATGACCTTGGGCAGGTACTGAATAGCTCAGTGACTCAGTTCTTCACCTGTAAAATAGAGATTAAAAACAACATTATCTTTTAGGATTGTTGTGAGAATTAAGTGAGTTAACATGTATAAAGAACAAGAACATTGCTTGGCTCATAAGAACTAAATATATGTTAGTTGTTAATGTTATTTTTTAAATGTGCATTGATTTATTTGCCTGATTATACTTTCTTTTTGTTACTTGATAGTGGTTGGATTTCATCGCTTACTGGTCTCAACAAAAGTATTCCTGTTGGAATCATGATGATAATCATAGCAGCACTTTTCACAGCATCAGCAGTCATCTCACTAGTTATGTTCAAAAAGGTAAATGAAATTTTATGTCTGCAAATTTTTATAGTGAAACTCATTTTCCTATTTTGCTCTTATTGTAACCTCAATCCATTTTTGTTTTGTTCTTTTTGTGCAAATTTGCTCTCTGAGGATTACTTTTTATAATTAATAGTTATGCATAGGTATTTTTTGAAAATTGCATCACATTTTTAACTTCCTGTAAAAAGGAAATATTTTAAAATCCAGTTAACTGAAGGCTTTTTGCAGTAACTGAAGAGTCAACTTTATTTTTAAAATTTGGATTATTTAAAAATATTCTGATCTCTTTTTTGAATATTAAATATATTAGCTTGATTAATGAAATGTGTTGTTTGCATATTGTTTGTATTTAAAATATAAAGACATTAAATTATCTAAGGTAAAGTGAACTGGTGACAAGTTCAGGCTGGGTTATGACTAATGACTGCCCAATTATATATACTTCTTCCTATTGAATTCTTATGGCTGTTTTCACAGCCTTCAAAAAAAAAATCATTACATAGTGTGGGAGAGAAATCTGTTTTTATTTGTTTATATAAGGTTTAATAGTGTTTTATGATGCATTACAGAAATGTTTTCTATTCTACCTGTGTTCAAACTTGAGTAGAATAACACCTGTGTTTTAAAATGGTAGACTTCTGATAGGTCTTACTCTGAAGAAATAAGTCTATACAACATTTCTCTTTATTTTTTAATGACCAATTAATTAAGATATGTATAAGGAGTATTTAGAAATAATTGTACCTTATATTTAAGTACACTCTGCACTTTTGAAATATTTTACTTGTACATTTGCCCTTTGTCCTTCTCAAAACTGTCTGAAGGCTAGACTATTTTTTTTTGTCCAAATTTTGCTATTCATTTTCTCTTATTTTCTGAACTACACACACATAGTATTGAAACTCAGTTTTCTAAAGCTACTGAATCATAAAGTTTTGCATTCTTCTTCCTCCTTGAAGCCTGTGCTATAGGTGGCTCCTCTTCCTGAGTCTTCATAATTGTGTTCTGATTCTTATGCCTCTGAGCCTATTCTTTCTCTTTCATTTATTTCTTTGTCCAGTTCGTTAGTAAAAGTCTTCTTAAATGCAGCCAGCTCACTGCTTTTTGTTTTGTAAAATCTTTTTTTCATGGGAATTTCAACCTCCCTGTATTTTTTCACTTTCTTCTCTGCCTGGATGGCCTAAAATGTTGGAGTTGGAAGAAATAATGCTTTGTATAAACATTTAGTTGCATACTCAGGTGACTGTTTATATCACCAGTTGATTGGCATCATCATCTCACAGTAATGCATCATAAACTCATAATTTTCTCAGAACTAGCTCTTCTTCCAGAAGTTCAGATTAATATTCAAGAAACACTTATTAAGACTACATTTTGTGTCCTGTCCAGTGTGGCTCAGTTGGTTGGAGCGTTCTATTCCTAGTCAGAGCACATACCTAGGTTGTGGGTTTGACCCCCATTGGGATGCATATGGGAAGCAACTAATCTCTCTCTCTCTCTCTCTAATCAATGGACATGTCCTTGGGTGAAGATTACAAAAACAAAACAAAATACTGTATATTGTATGATTCCATTTATATGAAATATACAAAATAGGCAAACCTATACAAACAGAAAGTTGATTCATTAGTGGCTGTCTATGGCTGAGGGTAGGGTGAAGAATGACTGTTAATGGCTATGGAATTTCTTTTGTGTGTGATGAAAATGTTCTAAAATTAAGTTATAAAGACGATATATTCACAACACTATTAATACTAAAAACCACTTTAAAAAGCTAAATTCTATACAAACTTTATCTCAAGCTTTTTTTAAAAAAAGGAATATTTATTAAATACCTACTATAAATAAGGTGATACTTTTTCAGATGGTTCTGTTTAACATTTGTGTCATCACTTTGACTATTAATTTCAGTGCTTCCATTACTTTATAATTACTTTCCTAGATTTTTTTTTTTAACTATCTTTCTGTTGTTTTCTTCCTTTCCATTTCCAACTTCAGCTAATCCAGAATTTTTTTTTACCAGTCACACCCTGCTCCGGCTTTCTTCAGTCCATTAGCTATTATATATAGTTACTATGTTAATCTAAAAAAAGATCTCCAAACAAACCTAGCACTCTGAAGATTTTTGAAGTGGACATGGGGTGGGAAATGGAATTGTGGTGAATGTGGGAGTTAGAACTAGTCCGTTTCACAGCTCCTGATCCAGACTTTCTACTCCAGTCAAACTGTACTTACTATGCATTCAGTTTCTTAAAAATACATCCTGCACCTTCCTTTGCCCCAGTTCTTGTTCATGCTATGCTTCTCAACTTTCAGGTTGCTTCATTTCTACTAGTGTTATTTCCAGCATTTGCTCAAATCTTCCTGTCTCTTCCGCAGAATCTTTCTTAGGGATTATGTCATCCTCTGTTTTATTGGGGAACTTGCTGTCTGTATTACACATTGGGATCTGGGCATAAGTCACTTTATGTACCTTATAGTGTACATTTTCTGGGTACCCAGCTTGTTAAATTCCGTCATGGTGAATATATCTTGTTGTAATGGAATTAAATGAGAAGAGCTATGGAACCACACAACTCAGGTCAAAATTCTGGCATCTTCACATACAGCTGTATGAACTGAAGCATGCTTCTATAACCGCTCAAGTTCATTGTCTTCACCCATACTCTAAGCTCCATGGCAACGGGACCTAGTCTGTGTACTTTCAGGCTGTATTCCTCACATTTAGAACAGTGACTGGCAGTGATTGGCATGTGATAGGCATACACACACACACACACACACACACACACACACATAATGAAAAAAGGAATTAGAATAACTTTTTATAGGGTTGATGTGAGGATTAAATAAAATAATGAATGTAAATTGCATAGCACAGGGCTTCAATTAAAATTAATATTCTTTTCTTTAGTTTTGTTGAGTAGGTGCCTGTATCAGTCAGTGTTCCATCAGAGAAACAGAACAGAATATAGCTGTTTATTGAGATGAATTGACTTATGTGGTTGGCCAGATTAGTCTGAAACCCACAGATGGGCAGTCAGGAAGGGTTGTAAGCTCAAGCAGAAACTGAAGCTCTAATCCACAGGTGGGATTTTTTTCTTTTTCAGGAAAACCTCAGTTCTATTCATAAGGTGCTTTAACTAATTAGATCAGGCACACCCAGATCATTTAGGATATTCTTTTTTTTTCAGAGTGACCTGATTATAGGTGATAATCATATATGCAAAACACCTTCACAGTAACATCTATTGTAGATTAGTGTTTGTTTGGTAACTGGAGAGTATAGACTGACCCATTATTTTATTATTTGGACAATTCTTTTGGACAATTCTTTTATTATTCCACATATATCATAGGGGATGCTTTCCAAAGTGATTTAGTGGCCATTTTGTGGCCAAGTATAGGGGGCACACAGGAGGGACATCTAAGTTTTGAAGATCTTTTAGTAGTGAAGTCTTTTTGTATAGTCTTGGGTGAGAGATCATGATGAAAAGGAGTTCCTAAGTAAAGGATTAAGGGGGAAGAAGAGGATAAGTAGGTACCAGAGAGCAGGGATATCTAGTTGCAGAGAATAGCATGGTGTATTCAGGGAATTCAAAGTATATAGTTGAGAATGGATGGTCGTGTGTGTGTCCCCGTCCCCCCCCCGCGCCACAAAATGCCCTCGATTGCAGGCCTGGTCCCTCCCCTACTGTCTTCCACTGTAGGCCTGGTCCTGGCCAACAGCCCTCCCCTGCAGGCCTGGGTTCCCCGCAGCTGCCCTTCACTGCAGGCTTGGTCCCCCCCAAATGCCCTCCACTGCAGGCCTGGTCCCTCCCCTGCTATCCTTCACTGCAGGCCTGGTCCCTTCTCTACTGCCCTCCACTGCAGGCCTGATCCCCCCAAACTGCTCTCCCCTCAGGCCTGGGTGCCCCCCCCCCCCAATTGCCCTCCACTGCAGGCCTGGTACCGCCCCAACTGCCCTCCCCTGCAGGCCATCTTGTGGCGGCCATCTTGTATCCACATGGGGGCAGTCATCTTGTGGCTGCACCAGCAAGGGTTCCAATTTCTCCACACCTTTGCCAACACTTGTTGTATTTCATTTTTCTAATTATAGCCATCTTAGTAGATATGAAGTAGTACGTTCACTTTTTAAAAAATTAACCTCTGTGGTATCGATAATTACAAACTAAGCATTTTACCTTGTAACACATGTACATATAGTCTACTAGAGCAGTATTGCATTTATTTGCTAACTTTTTAATAACGAAGATAATTTTAGGTCATTTGTTTAATTCCTAGCAGATAAAGAAACAAATACTTATTCAGGGGCTTCTGCCACAAATTATGTCTTTTAAAGGGTGTAACAATAAGTGGAAATGAGTTCTTCTCCAAAGAAACTATTGTAAAAGCATGTGAAGTATCAGACATGTAGATAAGCCCTCCAAAAGAAACAGCATAATTTGCATCTTTAAAAGATGTACTAAGGTGGGAATGCAGACTGGTGCAACCACTGTGGAGAACAGTTTGGAGTTTCCTCAAAAAACTGAAAATGGAACTCCCATTTGACCCACTAATCCCACTTCTAGGAATATATCCCAAGAAACTAGAAACACCAATCAGAAAGGATATATGCACCCCTATGTTCATAGCAGCACAATCTATTGTACAATAGCCAGAATTTGGAAACCGCCTAGGTGCCCGTCAGCAGATGATTGGATCCAAAAACTATGGTACATCTACACAATGGAGTACTATGCTGCCATAAAAAAGAAGGAATTCTCATCATTTGCAGCAACCTGGATGGAATTGGAGAACATCATGCTGAGTGAAATAAGCCAATCAATGAAAGAGAAACACCACATGACCTCACTCATTTGTGGATGATAAAGAACATTATAAACTGATGAACCAAAAGATAGATATAGAACAGTATATCAACAAGTAGACTGTCAAATTACAGCGGGGAGGGGAGGAAGATCTGGGAGAGATAATAGATCAACCGAAGGACT